TTTTTTTTTTTTTTTCTTCCCAGAGACTCTGTCCTACTGTGAGAATCAGTCGTTGTGTCCATATTTTGCTAGAGTTTGGGGGAACAGGATTTGGGGGTCTCCGTAGCGGGGTCCACTCTAAGCATCGAAGTCATCTCAGCAGCCTGAGCGGAGGATGCGGGGGCGGGAGCAGGTTTTAGAGGCTGGCACCAGAAAGGCGACGCAAGCTGATGGCTTGCAGGGAGGCGCCGGTCCCTGAGCGGGGGGGATCTGGGACGAGTCGGAGAGAGGCCGAAGCGAGGTCTCTTTCCCGGTCAGGGGCTGTGGCTTCAGGCACACTTTTCTCCAGATAGGGGAGGGTTCCCCGGCCTTCAACACACGGGAACCACTTTTTGTTCGGTCCCACCCTTTTATTCATTGGGAAGGGTTTGTGAAGAGGAACCTTGCGCTCCGCTTTTGGGATTCCAGGGACGGCGAGAGAGAGCACATGGCCATCCTCTAGGACCAGCTTATGAACCAGAAGCCCTGGTGGGGTGGGGTCCTGGGGACACCCTCAAACGCGCGTCAAGCACTTTTACTCCCCACAATTTAAAATCCACGCAGCTCAGTTGCCCTGAATCCTGGATTCCCTCCACCATCTTCAGTTGGGCCTGGCACCGAGAAACAAAGGTTCCCCAGCAGCAGTGCGGTTGAGATTCCCTGCGCCTCTGCTCCGCGGCGCAACACAGAAGGTAGAATAATTAGTGAAATAATCAGTTTGATATTGAATTAAGCCCTTTTGCCCCAGCTGCCTGTTTCTCCCTTGCGTTTCCGCAGACAGTAGAGTCAAGAGTGGTGCCGTCTTATTTTATTGTTTTATTACCGAAAAGGGGGGAGGCACGTTTCATTGCGGAAAAGGAGAAGCATGAATATTCGCTGTTAATAAGCAATTACAGACGCGGCTTGTAATCGCTCCGGGAGCGCATTTTCCGGCTGAGATGTCGGGACACTGCTTCCCCAACCGAACGCGATCACACGGGAAACTCTGAGCCCACAACAGATGAGGCGGCTGCAGGATTTGTGCGGCGCGCACACGCCCGTGCAGAACGGCTCGGAGCTTTCCGGCCTAGGTTCAAACCACAGCAGCCCCAACTTCGGCACGTCTGGGTTAGAGAGCGAGATGGTCCGTGATACACTCGGACGCTCCAGGGAATTTATCAGTTTTCCTTGGTGGTGAAAACCGGGGGCGTGAGAAGGTTCTCAGGGTCAGGACACAGCCAGTGGGAATGGAGCACGTGAAGCGAGTGGGCCAGCGAGGTGGCCCCGCAGGTCCTGGGCAGAGCGGCCCGGAACAGATCCCTGGAAAGCTGGCCCAGGGCGCGCTCAGGCCAGCGCGCCTGGCATTTCGTCCCGCTAGTTTTGAATTCGGGTTTGGCGTGGCTCTCGGTTCTGACCACACCGCCGTCCACTCCCACCTCCCGGCTTTTGTTTTATTTTGAGCCAGGGAAGTCTTGAAGAATTGAATTTTTCGAGCACTTTATGCTTTTTGAAGACTTGATGATTTTCAAAGTGGAGACTCCGTGAGGGGGACGCGAGAACAGGAAAGGAAGGGGCTGCGCGGTTTGGGCGGCTTGGCGACATAGCGGAGGGTTGGGGAACCTGGTTACGGCCCCGGGAGTCTCCGCGTCAGCCTTGGCCTTCACCTGAGCTGCAGGATGTTTGAAGGAAAAGCAGGGGTGAGATCGAATCGCACGTTATTTGGAGATAGGGTGGCTAGGGGTAGATAGCAGTTTTGCGCTTTATGACAGAGAGAAAGCGGGCCTCTGTGTCCCTTCAAGTTGCTTTCGAGGCGGCCAGGGAAGCGCTGCGCGTGGCAAAGTGCCATCGCAGGCAACAGGCATCGTTCCGACCCACTCTGGCGCAAATAACGCGGGCCAGCTGTCCCCCGCGCCACATCAGAAAGGGTTGATTTTATTCCAGCCCCAAAGCAAGCTCTTGAAAGCGCGTTGGTTCATTCTGAGTGCTACCTACCTATTAAATATATACACGGTATGTGTGATCAAGATTAGTGTTGACTCCTGGGTCAGGAAGTTGCCGTTTATATCTCCCCACCTCCCCAGTACATCTATTATTTTACTCAAATTTTAACACACTTTAGAGATGGAGAGAGAAAGAGGAATGCAAAGAGAATCAAAATTCAGGCTCCACAAAACTGCTCTGGGACCTGGAATTTGGGGACCATGGAAAACAGATACATCATTTATATTATATTCGTAAACATATGTTTCAAATTCCTTTTTAAACATAATGGAAAATGCTGTTTCAACTAAAGGTGATTTTTTTTTTTCTGACAACTCAGAGATCAAGAAATCTCATTGGATGGTTTTCCTGTATTGATTAACTAATGGCATTATTATTATTACACATGGAATATACTAGTCTAAATGCCTGGAGAGTTACAGATGAGCCAACCTGTGATTTCCTGACTTGGAAGGAATTTTCTTTTGCTGGTTCAGTTTTACTTACAATCAGGGAAGGAGACATAGAAAATATTTTCACATATCCCAGCCAAACTTTAAAGTCCAAGCACTCTTTTCTAGCAATAGGAAGAGAAAAGAAAGCTAAGGCAGTGGCTTCAGTGAATGAGTCAGGCAACACCCTCCTTAGATTGGGTGGGCAAATAACAGCCCCTTGCAGCCTGTTTGCTGTTTGATTTCAATTACACCCCAAGCTTCATGAAATCCAAATGAGACATTTATTGAAAGGTGCCTGGTTTTATGTGGCTCAACTGACAGTGTATTGGAATACACTGAACAAAAACATCAACACTGGGAAGGAAACGTGGAGACCCCTTGGAACCCCAGACCCAAATGCCGGCTGGATTAACTCACATCTTGCCCTTTCAGCCTGAGATGGAGCACGCGCCTGACCTTTGAAGGCTACAAGGAGGCCAAGGCCAAGCCTATGTGTGAGCCTACGGAAGATCTTCCGCTCTACTGGTTCGAGCACTCATACCAATGTCGTGCCACCCTCTCTCTCATCCCGGTAACACAAAGTTATTGCCAACCTGGCCAGGGGACATCTTTACCCACTTCTCCCCCCTTAAAGGTAACCACTACCAGTGCATTGATCTTTTAAAAGCAGCTCTGCGAAGCAGCATTTGGCCTCAAGACTGTTACACATCAAATGCATATGCGCACATAGGAATAAGTAACAGGGCTGAGTTATAGATGAGTGCAGTGATATACGGTTTTTCTCCTGCCC